TGTGTATCCACATATATACACGTATGTCTGTAAAACGTTTTGTTTTTTACTGCGAGTTACAATCCAAAGTTTTGAAAATACTACACTAAATTCCAAAACAGTTTACAACTCAGTCAGCTACTTTGTCATTTACTGCAATGGTTCTCAGTGTTTATTTTTTTAACCATAATCTCCTTGAGGAATGATATTATCCCATTAGGAAAAACAGCTCAAGATAGCAGATGAAAAAAACTCATCTACTATTCTCTTCTAACAATTTTCATATGGATTGTTCCTAAATCCCTAACAATTTTAAGTTCTTTAAAGACAGAGCTGCCTTCTCCATTACTGCCCTCACAGTGTTTAGCAAGACATTAGCACATTCAGTAGGTACTTGAAAGTCAACTTCCAGTTGCCCTTCTGAATAATTATATTAAAAATAACAAACCCTAGCTGGGCATGGTGGTGCACATCTGTAGTCCCAGCTACTGAGGAGGCTGAGGCAGGAGAATCTCTTGAACCCAGGAGGCAGAGACTGCAGTGAGTTGAGATCATGCCACTGCACTCCAGCCTGGGTGACAGAGCAAGACCCCATCTCAAAAAAAAAAAAAAGAAAAAATTAACAAAAACTATAGGAGTTAGTCTGATATTTCACTGACATGCCAAAAATAAGAGGGGACAAAAAAAGTCCAGAAAACCAAAAACCCTATGCATATTAAAAAAACATAAAAATAAAATATAGAAACATAGAAATATAAAAAAAATAAAGAAAGAAATCTAAGTACATGTTGTACATTAACAACTCTTGCTGAATGCTACAAACGCAGAATCTACAGCATGAACCATCTGGATCAAATTATGCTCTATGAAGGAATGAGAAACAAAATAAGCTGTGCTTTTTAGTTAGTTGTATCTAGCACTTTTTTTTTTTTTTTTTTTTTTTGAGACAGGGTGTCACTCTGTCGCCCAGACTGGAGTGCAATGGCACAATTTCAGCAACCTCTGCCTCCCAGGCTCAAGCAATTCTGCTGTCTCAGCCTCCTGAATAGCTGGGATTACAGGCACAAACCACTACCGTCCAGCTAACTTTTGTATTTTTAGTAGAGACGGTTCCACCATGTTGGCCAGGCTGGTCTCAAACTCCACACCTCGAATGATCCACCCGCCTTGGCCTCCCAAAGTGCTGGGATTACAGGTGTGAGCCACCACTCCCGGCCAAAGTAGCACTTTTTAAACAACAGTATTTAGAAGTAGACTCAAAATGTTAAAAATTCAACACAGAGTTGAATTTTATCCATTCTGGTCATCTAAGTCCATACATTTTCAATTTATCTTTGTTACTAACTTATCATAAACCATCCTAAACATCTCTCCCATATCTAATGATTTAAAAAATAGATGCTCAAGCCAGGTGCGGTGGCTCCCAGCACTGTAATCCAAGCACTTTGGGAGGCTGAAGTGGGAGGATTGCTTGAGCCCAGGAGTTCAAGACCAGCCAGGGTAACATAGCAAGACTTCGTCTCTAAAAAAAAACTAATAAATAATAATGTAAAAAAATAAAAATACAAAAATAGATGCTTAGCTCTCACTCTTAGGAATGGATCAATAAAAGATTTTGCTCTTTGGTCAGCTAAAATGGGAGCTAGGAAAATTCAGAGAATGATGTTCTCAAGATACCAAAAACAAGAAGGGCCACTACTGTCCACCTTTCCAACTCTTGTCTGTAGTTAAACCAATCTGGACATTGGCTGTACTTAAACCAAATCAACTACCTGCTTATTCGCAGCACTCATCATGTCCTACATTTTGATACAATTATTTTCTTTCATTCTTTAAGAATCTATTCACGTCAGGTCCTGTGCTAAATGTGAGCAGAAAAGTCTCCATCTTGCTTGTATTCCCAGCACTTTGGGAAGCCAAGGAAGGGAGGATGGCTTGAGGCCAGCAGTTCAAAGCCAGCCTGGGAAACACAGCAAGACTCCTTCACTACCAGAAATTTTAAAAAATTAGCCACCCATGGTGGTGCATGCCTATAGTCCTAGCTACTTGAGAGGCTGAGGCAAGAGCATCACTTGAGCCCAGGACTTCAAGGTTACAGTGAGCTATGATTACACCACTGCACTCCAACCTGGGTGACAGAGCAAAACTCTGTCTCAAACAAATCTCCATCTTTGATATGTTCACAGCCTAGAGGACAAAACAGAAACAACCAGTCGATCAACCAGTATTTACCAAGTGCCTACAATTTTGAAATAATTGTATTGCTTTAACAAAGGCAAGTAGGTTCAACTCAAAACTTGTTCATACATATTTCATGTGGCTGTTAAAAGTATGTTGCTCTTGTTTTTCCAACCCGATTAAGCCTATTCCCAACGCAGGGACTGCCTCCTCTTATAATCTCACAAAGCCAAGCAAAGGACTGGGCACAAAGCAGGGACTCGGCAAGTCTAATGAAAAGGAACTGTTGAGAAAGAATACAAATTCCTGACTCTTCCCAGTCCACATCTTGTCAGATGTCTCAACCAACCTTCTCTGATTCAGTATCTCTTGCCATGAAGGGAAAGGAACTCCAGGATGCTGTCTGTCTGGGATCTGTTTTTTCCACCCCACACTCCTATCCTCACCCCACACTCCTATCCTCACCCCACAAAAGAGATCAGTAAACTGACAAGTGGCTATGTAGGGTAAAGAGTCCCCCTCTTTCTTTCCTAGCTGCCCCCCCACCCGGTGCCTAAAACACCTCACCAACCCCACGGTTTTCCAAATCAAACTGTGTTCTCAGCTATAGGTGACTCTGGGTCAGTCGCCGAAACCTCGCTCTGAGCTTCAGTTTCCTCATCTGTAAAGTGGAGCTAATAAACTCTCTTTCAGAGGCTTGTAGAGAGGAATAAAATAGTGCCTGGAAAGTGCTCGGCAGTCACTACTCGATACAGGGCGTTATCCTTTTGAAAGGCGGCAGGATGACAAAGCCGAGGGGGTGCAGCCTGAAGGCCCGAAGGAGGTTCGGGGCAGGCTGACTGAAGACAGAAGGCCGAGCGAGCTGACAGGGCGGAAGGCCGCGGCGGGAAAGGCGGGAAAGGCGGGAAGCAGCGGCGGACGGGGGTCTCGGGGGGGGGGGGGTTGGGGCATCAGCTCCGGCGGCGGCAGCCCGCGTCCCCTCACCTCCCTTCTCGCCCACGTCGTTGCCCCCTCACCTCGCTTGATCACATGCATCGCAGCTAGTGGATGAGGCTCTGAAGGATCGGAGACTGGACTGCAGCTCTAAAGCGCCGGCGGGATCAAGAAGGTGACAGAGTAGGAAGGGTTAGGTTGCAGGCGCTGGTCAAGGACAGGAACTGGAGTTGGAGCCAGACAGCACTTTCTCCAGAGCAGAGGCGCAACAATCCAAATCCCCTTCCCGCGCCCGCCACCCGTGACGCACAAAGGGGTGCGACGGGGTTCGAATGACGTTAGTCGACGCTACGGCCCACGCCTGGGGTAGGCTCCGCAGACTAGTTCAGGCGCCTTGTAGCCGCCATGTTGAGTCTGGGCAAGACACAGAAGACTACGCCTCTCCCATGGGCCCCATTGGATGTGGACATGCCCGGCGGAAACGCTGCTCTCCTGCCGCCATGTTTTGTGTGGGCAAGCCGAATTTGGACGCCTTGGGGCCCTGGCGTAACACCTAGAGCCTGCTAGGTCAGGCGCCGCCCCTGTCGCTTGCGTGTCTTCGCCGGAGGAAAGGCGGTTCACTTATTTTGTTGCTTTTGAAATAACAAAACCTAACGGGCCGGAACGTTTTTCTTGCTTTGACATTTATTGTAATAATCCTAACACTGCCGTCCGCTGTGGGCTCAAGCCTAGGCTCCACAGCCGTGGGCAGCTTGGAGCCCGGGCTTTCAGATCGGCCAGAAGACTGGCACTCAGGAACTGGAAGAAAACCGCGCAAGGCCAATGGCGTTTGGATTTTATCCTGACGCAAATCAGATCCCTGAGAGAATTTTAAGCAGGGCAGGGTCAGTACACATTTGCTTTTAGGGTTCTTCAGTGGATGGTAGCAGAGACAGGGTATTTGCCTTGTGGAGGTAGGATGGACTTGGTGACTTAAAGTGGAGAATAAGAATAGATGAGAACCCTAATATGCAAGGCTGGTGTAGAAGCTTCTGATTTGGGCTACCCAAAGCGATCTTTATGAAATTTCATCTGTGGCATTTTTTCCCTAAAGCCTTTTCGTTGGTTTCTCACTACCCTCCAGAAGCTGCCCAAGCTTCCTGTGAAGTAATTTGAAAAATCATGGAAAGTCATAAGTGAGCCTGTAATCGCAGCATCTTGGGAGGCTAAGGCGGGAGTATCATGTGAGACCAGGTGTTGAGATAAGCCTGGGCAACATAGCGAGACCCCCATCTCTACAAAAAATAGAAAAATTAGGACAGCGTGGTGCCTCACTCCTGTAATCCCAGCACTTTGGGAGGCTGAGGTAGGCAGATCACGAGGTCAGGAGTTTGAGACCAGCCTAACCAACACGGTGAAACCCTGTCTCTACTAAAAATACAAAAAGTAGCCAGTCATGGTGGCGCGCACCTGTAATCCCAGCTACTCAGGAGGCTGAGGCAGGAGAATCGCTTGAACCCAGGAGGCAGAAGTTGCAGTGAGCCAAGATCACGCCATTGCACTCTAGCCTGGGCAAGAGAGCAAGACTCCGTCTCAAAAAAAACGAAAAAGAAAAATTAAATAGATGTTTTTTAAAAGTCATAAGTGAAGTTATAGGATAGATAGGGTCAAGTTTACCCAGACATAGGGTTTCCCAATTTAGCAAATAAAAATGTGTCCCAGACACTCCATGAGAGAAAATTATACTTTAAAAACTGTTTATCTGAAGTTCAGATTTAACTGGTCGCCCCGCATGTATCTAGTAACCCTGCCCACAGAGCTTCTGGGTATGTGCATTCAAGTTTCATTTTCCCTGGGCAAAGGAAAGATAGTCTCTTCATCCCGTCATGCCACAGCACAGAGAACACAATGAGAGTCAAAGCCAGCAGGGGTTAAAATCTCCTACATGCTTTATTGGACTTCTTATGAAATAACACAGAAAACCCCATTTGAGGGTGTCCAGGGGGTACAAGGCAGTCTGCAACCTAGCACCCTCCTAAGACCAGCCCCAGGTGCACCCACCCTAGGCCCAAAATAGGATCCCAGGATAAAGGCATGGCAGGGAGTGGGGCAGAGGGAAAACACCTTTACAGCCATAGCAAAAACAGGTAAGGGAGAGAGTTGTATAGAGGGTGGGAAGGGTGGGGGGAAGTGGTCACACAGCCACCTTCACCTATACCATCTTCCTTAGCCACCCCTCCCCCAAACTGGTTGTGTCCTTTTTGAGCCTCTGGCCAAGGCTACAAAGTAACATGAAAATGGGATCTAACAAGGGGAATATGCAGCGTAGGCACTTGGGAAATTCAGGAGATTTTTTTCCTTTTAACTTGTTTGTCTTTTGGTTCAAAAATATGACAGCATCCTTGCCCAACAACTCCAGGGCTCCATAAGAGTCCTGTATCATGGCTGTGGCTCCCCGGGCCAGGGGAGCCACTTGTCCTGAGCCCCAGGAGTAATGATGCTTGGGGAGCTTTGGGGCAGCACCTCTTAGAGACAAACCCTCCTGCGGTGTGGGGGAGCAGGGGTAAGAGGGAGGCAGGTGTGGGTGGGAGAAGAGAGAAAAAGTGACTGCCTTATAACCTACAGTTCTGGCATCCACTCATGCTCCAATGAAGAGAGGCCTCTTCCAACCCATCCCCAAGCCTCTCTTTAAAAGTCTCTGGTGGGTTGTTCTCTGAGAATTGGTTTCACTCCCCCATGGACTCCTGGAAGCCTGAGTGAGATCTAGGATGAGGTTCCTTCTGACCCACAACAATACCAAAGAACAAATCCCAAAGATTAGGCCCTGGCCCCAGTCTGAAGCAAATAGAACCACTGTGAGTGGGGTGGAACGGATCTGAGGCAAACATGTCAGAAGTTACTCCTCCTATCTTCCCTGTAACTGCTAGGGGAAGCTGGGGAGTGGTGGGAGGGAGGAGCCTGAAAGCAAGAGACAGAAACAAGAAACCAAACCTCAAAACTGGGACAGCAGAGACAGAAGCTGAACCCCAGAGGTGGAGCTGGGAGCTGAGGGAACAGCAACTAAGACATGCACTGAAGTGGAGAGGGAGTGACAGCAGCAGCCCATGGTTGGGAGGGAGGCAGGGCAGGCAGGCCATGGTGGTCAGTTAATAAATAATAATGAAGGACCCAGGGATGTACAGTGCAGGTATATACAGTGCCCAGACCCCTGGACCAGCCCTTCCCATGCCCCACTCTTGGGGCCAGTTATCTTGAAGGGAGGGAGGGAAGGAGAGGCAGAAGACCCAGGGAAGGACAAGCTGTCCCATTACTGCCACCCCCATCCTGCCTACTTCTTAAGAGGCTTCTTAAAGATTTTGAGGGGAAACTTCTTCCGGCCTGGGCTGGAGTCTGTCTCCTCGCCAATAGAGCCATTATCCTCCTCAGCCACAGCCTTCTTGCCAGCCAGGTGGGGAATGCGTGTGTTTCGGCTGGCTTGCAGGGCTCGGCTGTCCCCAACTGGAGATGGCGTGTCTGGGTCTGGGGAACTGGGGCTGTGAGAACGGGAAGAATCCAAATGTGGAGAGCCACCAGGTGGGGCTGAGGGGCTCAGCTCCATTAGGCTGTGGGCCTTGTCCAGCCCATGGTTCAGCGCCAGTAATGCCTTGGCCAGGGCAGGGCTGTCAGGCAGTTTCTCCATCAGAGACCCTGGGTGGACCCCCTCGATCAGCCGGTGGCTGCCATTGGAAGTCATGGCATTGAGAGCCTCGTCTGCGGCACGGCTCATCTGAGGAGGTTTGGGGGCCACACGCTGGCGGTCACTCATGTGGAGGGAGGACTCCGAATCGGAATGGGTCAAATCCCTGCAAGACATGGGGCAGAGAGGAAGAAAGGGACATATATTGGATGGGGTGATGGTGGAAAGGTGAAGAGGAGAAAGGGACAACACAAGAAGACAAGGACAGGGTAGGAAAATGGGGATAGAGCAGCAGGAGAGAGAAATAGGATGAACAGGCAGGTGGGGAGGAGAAAGGAAAGAGGAATAGACAGAAGTTGAGCAGCCGTAAGTATAGGATAAGAGAGGAGGCAGGAGGGAATGAGGATAGATTGGAAAAGAGACAGGGAAAGGAGAGTAGAATTGTAGAGGAAGAAAAGCAAAAGGATAAGCAGGTAGAAAGAAGGGCCAAGAGAGAAAGACAAGAAAGGGAAAAGTGATGGGGAGAGAAGAGAGACAAGAAACAAAAACAAAAAATGCCATCATCTGTCTGGCAAATGGTTTTCCAATACCTGGGCTCCACAACTGGTGAATGCTCTGGCTCTGAACTGGTGCAACCATAGGCTTAAATTCCACAGGTATCCTCCTCAATAAAATCTCTGCCTTCTCATAGCTGGCTAGATTTCCTGGGACTCAATCTTAAGCTAACACAGAACCCACATACTGCTCTGGGTCACCATTTTCCATGCCTTCCTCCCCCACTTACTCTTGTCACACCTTAGGAGATTATCCAGTCTGGGTCATGCCCCAAGGAACAGGGCACATGCAGTCAGTGGACCTGACCCAGGCTGGGGATGAGAAGGTTAGAACAGCCTTGCAAAAAATCCTTCAGCCACCCCAAAAGGCCAGGATGCTGCCTCTTCTAACCATCTCACAGGATTCAAAGGAGGTCATAGATAGGTATTGCAGAGTTCAAACCAAAGTCTGTGGTGCGGCAGGAAGGGTGGGGTCTCTTACAGACCTCTGCTGACAGGGAGAACGTAGGGAGGCATAGAAAGACAGGATGTTGGCCTTTAAAGAGCAATGGTTCAGAAGAGTTCTGGACTCTTCTGTGCGATCTTGGACAAGTCATCTAAACTTGCTAGTTCTTAACTTTGGCCCAGTGAAGATAATACCAATTCAATTTATCTTACAAGACTGTTTGGAGGATCAAATATGCTGGCAAAGCACTTGGAAATGTAGAAATTATTGTGGGAATGAAGACGATGAGGCCTGCCAAGCTGAAAGGCCTATGTAAGGGCCGGTCACAAGAGGTTTCTTTGCAAGGCTGAGTTATGGAGACATGCCACCGCACATTGGACATGCACACACACAGGCTAGTCTAGGAACTTGAGACCCTTTAAGGAGCTGGTGGTTCCTAAGCCATGAATCAATTCCAGATGCCACTCCTCCTGCTCTACAGACAAAAAGGTAGATATGGAGGTGCTCTCTCTGCCAATCCTGAATCCTCCTTCTGCCTTCCTAGAGGCCTGAGAACTTCAGCAAAAGCAGAGAAGAGAGCTAAGGGAAATGTTTAAACATCTGCTAGCCAAAGGGGAAGAGTCATGAGTGGGAAAGGAGACCACCATAGGACCTAGAAAGAAAGAGGCTGAGGGTCAGAAGTTAGGGAGGGTACCAGGCCCCTGAAACAGGCAAAAGCAGGGGGTTGACTCATAGCTATTGTAGACTTAATTCTCAGTAGGAAGCAAATAACTAAGTAGCCACCCCATGGGCCAGTACCTTCCTGGACTCAGCAGGCAGCAGAGAACAAGTCCAGCTCAGCTTCCATTCTACAAATATTGTTTTAGCCACATATTCTAGTATTTACAAATATTCAGTCTCATATTTGGTTTCATATATCTGACACTGTCCTTGCTTCTAAACTTGTCCTTGTTTCCCTAAGCCCCAAGATGATCCTCTCCATATGTTGCCTTCTCCAAACACTATTATAAACCAAGGAGCAAGGTGCCAAGGAAGTTTTGGGGAGCAATCACACTGAGAAAAGGGGTCCTCTAAGCTGAGGAAGTGAAGATCCTGGGATCCTACCCTCTCTAACACCAAGAAGGAGAAATCAGGAGGTTAGGGCCTTCCCAGCCTCACTTCTCCTGGACCACACCCCTATTTGGTCTTGATTCCTATCCATCTTTTTATTTATTTATTGACAGGGTCTCACTCTGTCGCCCAGGCTGGAGTGCAATGGCGTGATCTTGGCTCACTGCAGCCTCGACCTCCCAGGCTCAAGTGATCCTTCTGCCTGAGCCTCCCGTGTAGCTGGGACCACAGGCATCTGCCACCATGCCCAACTAAATTTTTGATTTTGTAGAGACAGGGTCTCACTTTGTTTCCAAGGCTGGTCTGAAACTCCTGGGCTTAAGCAGTCCTCCCCTCTTGGCCTCCCAAAGTGCTAGGATTACAGGCGTGAGCCACTGCACCCAGCCTGATTCCTGTCCTTCTATGCCTCCCTCGTCAACTAAAAGTTTAGACTGCCAAAGCAAGATAAGAACCTGGGAGGAAGCCCAGGGAGATATAGGAGGGAAAAGGCCCAGCATGAGGCAGGCTCACCTTCCCTCCCTGAATCACTGAGAACAATCAGGCCAGGGGTCCCTCCCCAAAGGCTGGGCTGCCTCGGACTCCCATCCCAAGCTACTGACCTTACTAGAGAGCCTGTTTGCCTTTAGAGATGATCCTCTGGTGCATGGTGCAAAAGAAAATTAAGTAGTGAACAGGCCAGGTGGATACAGGTACCTCTCCGCCCTTCCTCCCCACTGCCCTCAGCTTAAACCTTGGAGCATGGAATTCACAGCATCCCCTAGTTTCCCCAACCCAATTTGATCCTCTCCATCTGTACTGGAAGGAGCAGTCTCCCTTCCTAGGCTTTTGGATGAAAATGAGAATGAGAATGGATATGAGTGGCTCTGCTGAGTAATAATCTTAGTAAGGGCAATCCCTTTGTGCAAGAGAAAGGAACAGCCCTCGAGCATAACTATCCAGAGGTTTAAGGGGCAGAGTTGAATAAATGGGTATCCAGAGTGAGATAGAACTAAAAAAAAGCAACAGAGTAAACAGACTGCAGCCCAGAGGCCAGGACTGGGCTGTGGTCACCACTTCAGAGATGAGAAGTACTTCCAGAGGGGAAGGACTTTCTGAGTGTCTCCTAAGCTTGTTCCAGGCAAGGTCAAGGCTACTACCTCTGATCCTAGTCTACCATCTTGGGTATTAGCAAGAAAAGTCCCTGCAGCTGCCAGACAAAGCTGTGGAAGAAAAAACTTTCACCAATTATTTTCCAGTGTACTTTTTGAGACCTTGTAAAAAGATAAAAATACCCAACGGAGTATTCTGGAATGGAATGCCAAGTTCTAATCTGTCTCTGCTCTCAACTAGCTGTGAGACCTGGAGGGAATTACCCTTTTAGAACCTTAACTTACTATTCTAAAAATGTATATTTTAATTCCTGCTCCACCTATAAACTCTTCTTGTCCAAAACCCCAAAACCTATGTCCCCTGTCTTGGTTCCCTAATTTCATGAAGGATGCTATGTCCATTCAGTCACTCAAGCTATAAACCTGAGTGTCATACTAGATCCTCCCTTTCCTTCACCACTGTAGCCAGTTACCAAATTCATCATGTCTTTTTATCCCAAGGCCTCATTACCTCCCCTAGTGGTCTACTGGAATGTTTTCCAAATTCCTGTAGTCTTACACTTCCTTCCTTCACACAGCCACTAAAATGTTATTTCTAAAATGCAAATGTGACTGATTCATATTCTCTTAGAAACCCTTTTGTAGTTTTCCATCTCCTAAAGCCTTTTCCATCTCCTAAAGGCCAAAACCCTTTCCTTTCAGAGCCTTCATCATTTTAGCCTCAGCTGTTTCTCCTTCCCACCAACACATATCCAGTGTTCTAACCACAAATATATCATATTCTCTTGAATTTCCATGTCTCTGCACACAGTGTTTCCTCTGCCTAGAATACTCTTTCTCCTTTCCCTTCACACAGCATGTTAGCACAAATTCATCTCTTTGGTGAAGCATTCCACCCAGGTACACACTGTTAGTCACTCCTTCCTCAACACCCCCATAGCACTTAATAAATTTTCCCATAATTATTTATGTATCTCTCTCAGACAAGATTGTAGTTCTTGATGGCTGGGATTGTGTCTTATTACCAGTGAACCCCTATGCCCGGCAGAGCCTGGCACAGAGTAGGCATTAGTAAATGCTTGTTGAAGGAGTGAAGGAAGTGAGGGCCCAAGTGAGAACTAATGTGAAAGTGCATAGTTTAGGCAAAAGTGCTATAGGGTCATGAGGGAAGAAAGTCGTTACTCATTTTTAGAGCCAGCAAACCCCAAACACAGAAGGGGAGAAAGTAGGCTGACCCTAAAAAGGAATCCCAGAGCTAGGAACAAACAGGATAAGAAGAAGATTCCCCACTGGACACACCCCCAGAGTTGATCAAGCAGCAGCTGGCAGGCAGAAACCAAAGTAAAAGCAGCAGAAAGGGAAGGAAGGGAAGAAAGAGAAGAGAGACAGCTGATACCCCAAGCTCTCTGAATGCCCAGGCATCACAGCGGTGCTGTCAGAAGGGGGTGTGTCAGGGTAGGGCTCCGTCTGGAGGAAATAGGAAGTGCTGTGGTGGTAATAAACAGGGTGGACATGGACGGTGGTGATGGTGGTGGTGGTGGTGGTGGTAGTGGTGATGGTGGTGGTAGAAGAGGAGCAAGAAGCAGCAGCAGAGGCAGATGGAGAGCTCGTCCCGTAGCCTTCAGAACTGAAAGACTGTCCAGATGAAAGGCTGCGCATTCGCCGCAGAGATACCCGGCTTGTCAAGAAGTGGCCAGCCTCGCCCTCTACCAACCTCTGAGATCCCAGGCCATGCTGTGGCTCCGTCAGGCGCTGCCGAACACTGCTCTGCAGGCTAGGGGCTGCAAGAAGAATGAAGAAAGTGTCAGGAGGGGCCAGCCCACTTTGGGCTGGCAGGTAAAGAGGTGCCCATGAATAAATGCTTGCTGGAGACCACCCTGGGCCTCTAATGCCAATTGGGAGGATGGGGCACCTCCTCCCAGAAACCTCCCACCAGGGGTCCTAAAAGGCTGGGAAATTGAAGATGAGGTGCCCGGGTCAGTTTTAGTGGCAATTCCAATAGAAGGAGACCTATGGCCAATGTCACTATAAAGGGAAGTGGCAAGGCAGTTAGTGAGTAGACACAGGCAAGGAAGGGTAGGATAGGGGCTTGGGACAAGGTCCGGGAGAGTACTAAGAACCAGCCTTTTCAGAAAGCCAACCTCAGGAAATAATTCACAGCATAGACAAGGACTTATACATAAACATGTTCACCATTAATAATAATTGATTGAGAAGTAAACATAATTGTTTACTTTTTATTAATAGCTGTATGAAAGTAAACATAAAGAATGAACAATGGGAAAATGATAATATATCCAGTTTCTGGGATACTATAGAGCTATTAAAAATGATGCTTATAAAAAGACTTTAAGAAAATAGGAAAAATGCCTATTAAAATGTTCAGAGGGGAAAAAGGATACAGAATTATATGTATTAGCCTTGAGCTTTGGAATACCAAACACTAGAGTTTGAAACCAGGACTTTCACTTCTAATTGTGACCTTGAGCAGCTGACTTCCCCATTTTAACTCCTAATTTCTAAAATCCTGCAAGGTTCTTCTGAGACCTCACGATAATGTCTTTAAGGCACCTGTTTCAGGTTATGGCACTCAATAAATGGTAGCGGCTATCATTATCTTAACCACATAAAAAGTTTCACAAACAAAAGAGTGACAGAGAAGGTGCTCAAATATGGTGGGACTATGGATGCTTTTTATGCTAATGTTCACTCTTTTTCACTTTCCAATAAGCACATAAACAACAAAGAACCAGCTCTTGGATCAGGCTGCAAATCGGGGTCCTGGAGATAATGGCCACCATGCCCAGTGAAGGGACACATGGGCACCAAGTAACTTAGGAATATGCTAGTGCATCCCCCCTTGGGCTCACTCCCAGCTAAAAGAGAGTACAGACCTTTCTTCTTTCTCCCCTACCCTGATAGATAGGCTTCTCTGCTTTCTCCCTAAAGATGAGAGAAAGGGCCTCTTTCAAGGGTGAGAGAAGCCTTGGAAGGGCCATCAGGGAGAGAGCATAGTTCCATAGTGATAGAGAGTTCAGGAGGCAGGGCTTCTATGCTGGTAGCTTTCAAGGTATGAAAGAGAGGCTGAAGAGGATGAGGAAGTCTGGAATAAGGAGGGGAAGGGGGAGAAAGAAGGGGGAAACTGGGAAGAAAAGGGAGAAACAAGAAAAAGAGAAAAGAAAGGGATGATTTTTCCTTCCCTCTTTCTCTCCCAGCCCAGCTGGAAGAAGGGCTACCAGGTTATCTGCATAGCTGAGCTAAAGGGAGAAGCCTAAGCCTTCCATTACCAGGGGTGTTCTCTAACCAGCTCTTGCCAAGCAGGCTGATTCTTCTTACCCCCGAACTCCTCCCTGTAGTTAGTAGGGACAGTGCTGAGGGGATAGAGGGAACAGGCAGGGGCATGAAGCAGGCAGGAGAAGGGACCCATGGGGTAGGAGTGTTGATTTAGTCCCAAAAGTTGGAAAAACAAAATGCCCCAAAGGGGCTCCTCAAACCAGGGTATTTCCAGAGGGACTGATCATCTGAGCCGGCGGATGTAGAGCAGAGAGAGCGGTCACTGAACCTACGCCCCATCAGCCAGGCAGCATCTAGGGCCAATAGCCAGGCCAAAAAGGAGAATAGAATCTGATTTATGGAGGGCTTTGGCCTGCCATCAATGTAATAAAGGAAGGACTGGGGGCAGGGATTGGGTAGCTCAGAGCTAATTAAGGTCCCTCCCAGCCTGGAGAACACAGAAGACTTCAGATCAACAAGTCAGGATCAAGCTCTGCCTGTCAGTGATCCTGTCCTTGTTAAGCCTTTGATTAAAGGCCTAACAAGTTATCAGATCAGAAGAACCAAGAGGCTTGGCCAGGGGCAAAGTATTATTGACAAAATTACAAATAAATTCTGTCTGGAGTGGGAATCCAGCCTTATTAAAGAATGTGAAAGTAAGGCCCTAACACTGCCCCAGACTTCTGCCCTCCCCCGTACTGGCAGAATATGGGCCTAGGACAATAGCTTTACCATAAGGGCTGTTCTACTTACTTAAAATAGCATCTGATCCAAAGAAAAATTCAGTTGTGGGCCAGTAAGGGAAAACTCCCTTCATTCACTGAAGAATTCCAGTGTTATTCCATTTGGCTCTGCTCTACTCAACTCTCATCACTTGCAGGGGAGAAAAGGGAGAGGGAAGACCCAGGACAGAGGAAGAGAGGGTGGGATCCAAGAGTCCAGGTGGAAAGTCAGACATGCTTGTGCAGGAGATCCCTCCTGGGCAAGAATGCCTTTCCAACTTAGAGGATTTAGGACTATATCACTTTAAGGGACTACTGCTTTATAGGGCCTCTCACAAAAAGACAAAGAGAAACATCATTCAATTCATCTACTTTAGCAATTAAGAATAATGAACAAAAATCAAAATAAATAAGTTCAATAAATAGTCAAAATGAATGCCATTTTTACATTGAAATTCACTAAAGGGCATTATTTTTTATAAAGGTAGATAGAGTGGTAGTTAGGGACAATAAAGTGAAAAAGACTGAAGGGAGACACACTTAGCGTAATAGACCCAAAGGGGCATACAGAGCACACAACAAGGAAAGAACACCAAAAGGACAACTATAAAGAAAGAACCTGAGCAAACTGTGCTTTATTGACCAAGGTCATGAGTTGAACTATCTTCCTGGGTATCTGCCCCATCTGCTGTTTAAGCACAACAGAGGCCACAGACTTCTCAACCTGTGCATCAAAGGCTCCTTCCTTCATGCCCCCAAAGAGGTCACCTACACTGCATGGACAAGGGAGACACAATCTCCTCATCCATGTCATCCACGTCGTCGGTCATGATGAAGTGGGCAGGGTTGGGGCGTGTACTGCCCATCCAGCTGGGGTCTATGTTGAGGGCAGCCACCAGTGAGTGGATGCCAGGGTTATTGACAATCTGGAAGCCACAGAGGATCTCGATCTGTTGCCAGCGGTGCAGGCGCTCCCGCAATGCTGCTGTCACCTCGCTCAGTGCTTGCCTGAAGACAGAGGAAAGAGAACAGCAGGCATGGACTTGGTGTGAACCCCAATAGGAATGAAGCCTCTTCTCAGAGGAACAAGTTTTGAGAATATGTGTGAATAAACACACAATAAACTCATAAATTTAAGAGCAAGGCGAGAGATAAATAAAGGCTGAAGGAGGAGACCAGAGCTGTCCCTCCACCAATGAGGAAATGGAATTGGTGTTGGAGGCCCTGTATGCCCTCAAATTCTGAGGATGATATGGACATTGCCAGAGTAGATAACTGGTGTTACTTACTTAGCTGTTAGAATTTTATGATCTACATCATCCAGGGAAGAGCTGTGGGCCACATGGAAGGTGCCAAAGAGTGTGTTTCTCTTCTTTTTTATCTTCTCAGCCTGCAAAGATGAGGCCCCCAGTTCAAAAAGAGCAGGGATTCGAGGTTGGAAGAAATAAGACAGGCCTTCCCCTATGGCTGGGGCCCACTCCTCCTAGCCCAACTTAGACTGCACAAGGAAAAGGAAGAGAAAGAGGAAAAAGAGAAAGGCAGGAAAGGTAGAAGAAAAAGGAGGGGACAACATAGAGAAAGCGAGGGGAGAAGCAAAGGGGTCCTTGATAGCCCTTTTGCCCCAGGAGGACCTCTGTCCCCATGGCAGCCTGAGGCTGGCATAGCTTTCCCTCTGCCTGCCTCCACTTATTTCATCTTTTCCAGAAGATAGGCGGGAATGCCCCTACACCCTCATTCCCTCCTCCAGAAGCCTAAGGACACTGTCAGGAGCTGAACATTAGGAAAGAAACAGAACCCACCACCAGGATATCTCTTCACCCAATGGGAGGAACAGGGAGAGGGAGAGAAGAGGAAGATATGCAGGCAAAAGGGAGAAGGGCAAAAAGGAGAAAAGAGGGCAATAGAAGGGCAGTTCTCACCCCCTCCTTGGCCACCAGCAGCTGCTTCTCAGCATTTTGCTTCTTGATGTTGTAATATTGCACCTCCACCTCATGTGTCAGCTGCAGCCACTTCTGAAGGGCCTCTGGAGCATACCATGAGCTGTGTGATTCTAGCTCCTTCTCTGCTTTCCTCAAGGCCTCCCGAACCTGTGCAGCCAAAAGGATGTGAGTTCATTTACTGCTATTAATACTCTCCAACACCTCTGTATGATGCTTCAGAACTCAGACTTCTTATCTGCTTTACAACTCTCCCAGGAAGGAGAAAGGGTAAGGATTATTTTCCATATTTTTTGTAGAAGAAAGCAAGCTCAGAGAAGAAAATTAACCAATTCAAGGTCCACAGTGTCAACCAGAACCCAAATTGAGATGTTTTTGTTCCCAGACGAAGGCATTCTTTTCTATCACATCAGCTTACTTTCCTGGTCATGCAGCAAGTTCCAGCAATCTTCTCTGATCTCTTCAGGAACAGGTTAGCTAATGAATCATCTTCTTTCCAAGAGTCAGGGTCTGTGCTTAGACTTCAAGACATCACAACGTGACAGAAAAAGCACTGGTCAGGAATCTGAAAATCTGGTTCTTGTCCCTGGTCTGTCACTTAACTGGCTGTGTGACCCTGTGCTCCCTAAACCAGTTCTTAATTCGGTGTGAGGCAGGACTTTCTCCCATGCAAATCCAAACTATCAGTGAAGGGGTGATCTCAGGAGAGAGTGAGTTCCCTGTTACGGGAGGTATGTGAAGAGCTCATGTCAGAGAGACCTGAAAATGATTGGTACTTCAGAAGGGTATTGTCCTGAATGCTCTCCAGAGTCTCCTCTAGCCCAGAGACTGTGTCTATGATTCTCTCAGGGAGTAGAGCAAGTGGGCTTTGAAAAGAACTCTGTACAAGGTGGGAAGACAATGAGCACGCCCACACCTAACAGAGGCATTGCCAACAGAAGCCAAGACATGAGAGGACCAATGTATAAGTAGAAATAACCAACTTCTCTGCAGAGAGCACACAATGAGGCAGTCCAAAGCACTAAAGTATAAAAGACTTGAAGGTACATACAGACATTATGTACACAGGGTTTCTTGCTGTCTCATCCAAGCTACCAGCATAAGTGATCTCCAACTCTCCTACCTGAACAGAATCCCAGAGAAGATGCTTGAAAGCAGTCTTATTATCCCCAGCTTCAGCCAATGAGGTAAGCATCCCATAGCAAGCCTGAGGTCCTCTCCACAGCCTAAGATAGGCCAGGAGGGCCTCAGCTAGGGACAGAACACCTTTATTCCTTTGAGAGGCAATGAGAGTGCCAATCTTCACTTGGTTTCTGTTCCCTGGAAAAAAACTAAAAATAGCCCACTCCTGTTTATGTAGCTTCTAAATGAAGACTAAATACTTTAGAAACTAATATACCAAGTCTGAAAATTTATGATCAAGTACTAAATTAAAAGCAGTTTAAGGAATGGGATAAGCTAAGCAGGGAATAATGGATGAAGAAGAAAAAAAAAGAGAGCAAATAGAGGGAAGCATGACAGTCAGGGAGGCATACAAAGGGGCTGGCCTACAAGGCTCAAACCTGTTGGGAGCCAGGCACAGTGGCTCACACCTGTAATCCCAGTAGTTTGGAAGGCCGAAGAGGAGGATCACTTGAGCCCAGGAATTCGAGAGCAGCCTGGGCAACACAGTGAGACCTCATCTTACAAAAAACTGTAAAACTAGCCAGGTGGGATGGTGTGCACCTGTGGTCCCAGCTACTCAGGAGGCTGAGATGGGAGTATCGCTTGAGTCCAGGAGGTCAAGACTGCAGTGAGCCAAGATCATTCTACCACACTCCAGCCTGGGCAACAGAGTGAGACACTGTCAAAAATAAAAAATAAAAAATAAAAAATAAAAAAAAGCTGTTTGGTTAATGAGAGAAGTAACTACAAAATAAGGAATGGGGGAGATGGAAGACAGACAGACAGAGACAGACATATCATGCCATGCACAGTAACAAATGTCTGATGGGAAGACAACATATGGGCAAGTCAGAGTTCTTGTCCTTTTATTTTGTAGCTGTGGTTCTCAACCTTGTAACATACTGTAACCACATGGGGAACTTTTTTACTCTATTTTATTTTGAGACAGGGTCTTCTTGTGTCGGCCAGGCTGGAGTGCAGTGGTGAATCTCAGCTCACTGCAACCTCTGCCTCCCGGGCTTAAGTGATCCTCCCTCCTCAGCCTCCTGAATAGCTTTGGGACCACAGGCATGCACCACCACACCCAGTAAATTTTTTTGTTGTTGTTGTCAGAGATGGGATTTTGCCATGTTGCCCAGACTGGTTTCAAACTCCTGGGTTCAAGCGATCTGCCCGCCCTTTGCCTCCCAAAGTGTAGGGATTACAGGCGTGAGCTACCATGCCTGGCCAGGAACTTAAAAAATACAGATATCTGGGCCCCAACCTAGAGATACTGATTTCATTGATCTGGGGTGTTTGCCTGGGCATTAAAGTAGGCTCTCCAAGTCATTCTAATATGCAGCCAAAGTTAGTAAACACTTATCTATATGTTTTAAATAAAGTGTTATCACCTGACTTCCACTTCCCAGTAAGATATAGTAGGTCATGGGAGAAAAACAATTCTGATCCAAAACAACATCTGGAAAAAGCTGTATACATTTTATGAAAATTGTGTTTTCAAAATTGTTTTTATTTTGAAAAATTTAGAAAATATGTTATTTGTGTAAACATCTAAGGGGTTTGATGTAGTTATTTTTATTTTTATTTTTATTTTTGAGATGGAGTCTTGCTCTGTCACCCAGGCTGGAGTGCAGTGATATGATCTTGGCTCACTGCAACCTCCGCCTCTCGGGTTCAAGCGATTCTCCTACCTCAGCCTCCTGAATAGCTGGGATTACAGGTGCCTACCACCATGCCTGGCTGATTCTTGTATTTTTAGTAGAGATGGGGTTTCGCTATGTTGGCCAGCCTGGTCTCGAACTCCTGACCTCAAGTGATCTGCACGCCCCGGCCTCCCAAAGTGCTGGGATTACAGGTGTGAGCCACTGTGCCCAGCCTGATATAGTTATTTTTAATGAATTAATAAATATTTTTTAATTTTCTGTTTTAGTTTCTAATAGGTTAAATATCAACAGTATTATCACCTATCAAAATGTTCTTTGAGGTCTTAAATAGTTTTTAAGAGTAAAGGGTCCTGGCTGGGTGTTGTGGCTCATGCCTGTAATCCCAGCACTTTGGGACGCCAAGGCGGGTGGATCGCCTGAGGTCAGGAGTTTCAGACCAGCCTGACCAATATGGTGAAATCCCTTCTCTACTAAAAATACAAAATTAGCCATGTGTAGTGGCAGGCACCTATAATCCCAGCTACTCAGAAGGCTGAGGCAGGAGGAGAATTGCTTGAACCTGAGAGGTGGAGGTTGTAGTGAGCCGAGATTGTGCCATTGCACTCCAGCCTGGGTGACAAAAGCGAGACTCCATCTTAAAAAAAGAAAAAAAAAAAAAAAAGAGTAAAGAGTCCTAAGAACAAAAAGTGTGAGAACCACTAGACTAGATAAACTAAAAGTCAGAGAGAAAAAGCCTTTCTAAGATGAGTTGTCAATTGTCAGTCATTTTCTTCCTGGGAGACACTGATGATTTTAGGTGAGAGCTGAAAATTGCACTGGACCCATGTAGAAGATCTCCACTGGGGCACCAAGAAAACAGCCTACGATGTGGCAGAACTGCATCTCTCATAGTCTTTCAGGGTTGAAGAGAAAGAAACTAACAGCTTTCCATTTAAAAGTCAGGGAGGGACATATCTGAGAAACTGGGACAAATGAAAGCTACACCAAGTTTTACTAAAACTACAACCTAGTTCAAATGCAGTTCGATCTCTGATTGGCTTGAGGTGATCAGTTCCTTAATATACTCCACGAAAGAAAGGGGGAAAACTACCTGATGGAAGAGAAAATCATCTGGAGCCTCTATTTTTTTAAATACACACTGTCCAGCATGTCATAAAAATAAATTACTAGACATAAATGGCAAAAAAAATGACTAATAATCAAGAGGAAAAATAAGCAGTCCCATAAATGATCCAGATGTTAAGAATTACCAGACAAGGACTTTAAAATAATTACGATTGCTATGTTAAGGGAAATACAGGAAAAGATGGACACAGTAGATAAAAGATAGAAATTCTGGACGGGGAACTGGAACCTATAAAAGAGTAAAGTGGATATTCTAGAATTGAAAAATACATTGTCTGAGAGTAGTAACCCACTGGATGGGTTAAACAGCAGAATGCTTACAGTAGAATGCAGAATTAAAGAACTTAAAAGATAGATCAATAGAAAATAACCAAATCAAAACACAGAGAGAAAAAAGAACAGAACTGAGCATAAGAGACATGTGGAATAGAGTTAAAAGATCTGACATAAATATTACATTCTCAGAAGGAGAGGAGAGAATGGAGCAGAAGTAATATTTTAAGAGATATATAAGTGCTAAAAAGAATGTATTTTCTAGAGTTAGAGTGTTCCATATGTGTCAAGGAATTCAAACTTATTAACCATGCTTTTAAATTTTTTATATCCTTATGGATGCTATTGGTGACTTATTATTGAGAGAAGTATATTAAAATCTCTAACTTTGATTATAAAATTTGTCTGGTATCATTTTAGTTCAGTCAATATTTGCTTTATATTATTTTAGACTATATCATTAGATGTATCCAAATTAAGGGCTATTATATATTAAATTGAATTCATCTACTTATCATTATGAAATATCTATTTTTGGGGTCTAGTAATACTTCTTGACCTAAAGTTTACTTTATATTAATGTAAATATTACATTTACATTAACATACAGCTACCTTTGCTCTATTTCACTTAGCAATTGCTTTAGGTCAATACTTCATGACCTAAATCCTATTTTATATTAATACAAATATTATATTTATATCAATATATAGCTACCCCTGCTTCATTTTGCTGCTTTATTTTGTAACATATCTTTTCTCATCCTTTTCCTTTAAGCTTTTTTTGTGTTCTTATATTTAAAGTGTGTCTCTTATAAACAGCATATAATTGAGTTTTGGCATTAATCCAATCTGACAATCTCTGCCTTTTAACTGAATTGCTTAGTTTTTTTTCATACAAACCAAGTCTCAACAAGTTTCAAAGGACTACACCTACACAGCATATGTTCTCTGACCATAGTGAAATTAAACTCGAAACCAGTAAAAGAAAGATAAGTAAAAAAGTCCTCAAGTGTTTGAAAATCAAGCACTATACTAGATAACCATGTGCCAAAAAGGGAGCCACAAAAAAAATTAGAAAACTTTTGACCTGAATGATAATAAAAATATAAAATAGAGATTCTTGAATGATCACCTTACTTGAGGGAAAAAAAAAGATCCTTGACGGCCTACTTCATATCACATACAAAAGTTAATTTGAAATAATATCCCTAAATGTGAAAAGACAAACAATAAAGATTCAGAAGAAAATTTAGGGAAATATCTTGGGGATAGGGAAGGATTTCTTAAACAAGAAACAAAAAGCAAAAAGCATCAATTTTTTTTTTTTTTTTTTTTTGAGATGGAGTCTCGCTCTGTTGCCCAGGCTGGAGTGCAGTGGCACTATCTTGGCTCACTGCAACCTTCACCTCCCAGGCTCAAGCAATCCTCCTGCCTCAGCCTCCCAAGGAGCTGGGACTACAGGTGTGTGCCACCACACCCAGTTAATTTTTGTATTTTTAGTATGGATGGGCTTTTGCCATGTTGGCCAGGCTGGTCTCGAACTTCTGATCTCAAGTAATCTGCCCGCCTCAGCCTCCCAAAGTGCTGTGATTACAGGCATGAGCCACAACGCCTGGCCGCATCAGTCATTTAAAAAACTGATTAAATTAGAAGCCCTTAAAATCAAGGACTTCTGTTTATCAAAAGACAATATTAAGAGAGCAAAAAAACAAGTCAAGGCTGAGAGAAAATATTTTCTGTATATGTGTGTATTTATACTGACAAAACACTAATATCCAAAATATATAAATAATGCTTACAAATCAATAAGAAAAAGACAATCCAATTTTTAAAATGAGAAGAGATTCCCAAATCAAATGGCCAATAAATTTATTAAAAGGTATTTAATAATATTAGGGAAATGAAAATTAAAATCACAAGATACTACTATATATTTACCAGAATGTTTAAAATTAAAATGCCTAAAAATACTGAGGTCATGGATCAACTAGAATTCTCTTACATTGTTGTGGCAGTATAGATTGGTACAATCATTTTGGAAAACTGACAGTTTCTAATAAAGCTAAATACATGAATACTCTATTATATGTCCAACAGAAATGAGTGCTTATGCCCACCAAGAGACATATGCAAGAAGATTCATAGCAATATTATTCATAAAAGTCAACAAAGCTGCAGACAACCCAAATATTTATCAACGGAAGAGTGGATAAATTATAGTATACTCATACAATAGATGAGTAACTCAGCAATGGAAATAAACCAACTATCACTACATGCAACTTTGATGACTCTCATAGACATAATGTTGAGTGAAAGAAACAAAACACAAAAGAGTATATACTGTATAATGCCATTTATATGAAGTTCAAAATTAGACAAAACTAACTGGTTGGGGCCGGGCGTCGTGGCTGAAGCCTGTAATCCCAGCACTTTGGGAGGCCGAGACGGGTGGATCACGAGGTCAGGAGATTGAGACCATCCTGGCTAACACAGTGAAACGCCGTCTCTACTAAAAAATACGAAAAAAACTAGCCGGGCGAAGTGGCGGGCGCCTGTAGTCCCAGCTACGGGAGGCTGAGACAGGAGAATGGCGTGAACCCGGGAGGCGGAGCTTGCAGTGAGCTGAGATCCAGCCACTGCACTCCAGCCTGGGCCACAGAGCGAGACTCCGTCTCAAACAAAACAAAACAAAACAAAAAAAACTAACTGGTTTACAAGTTGTGACAGTAGTTAACTATTGGATGAAATATTAACTGGGGGAGCAAAAGTGAGTTTTCTGGGGTGCTGAGAAGGTTCTGTATTTTGATCTGAGTGGTGGTAACACAGGTACATGCATACGCAAAAGCTTGCCAGCTGTATACTTATGACTTGTACACTTTATGTAAATCCCTCAAAAAAAGAAACAAAATAACTGTTATCACCGATTATCCACTGTTCTTTGAAAATCATAGTGACTATTTTTATAATTTTCTTTTTTTTGGTTTTTTTTTTTTGAGACAGAGATTTACTCTTGTTGCCCAGGCTGGAGTGCAATGGCACGATCTCGACTCACTGCAACCTCCGCCTCTGGGGTTCAAGCAATTCTCCTGCCTCAGCCTCCTGAGTAGCTGGGATTACAGGTGCCTGCCGCCACACCCAGCTAATTTTTTTGTATTTTTAATAGAGATGGGCTTTCACCATGTTGGCCAGGCTGATCTCGAACTCCTGACCTCAAGTGATCCACCTGCCTCGGCCTCCCAAAGTGCTGAATTACAGGCATGAACCACTGTGCCCACAGTGACTATTTTTTACAACTTGAACTCTTATTGGTAAGAGTCCAGTGACTCTAGAGCATAGGCTTTGGATCACATTTCAAATTCCTCACACATGAAACTTCCAGCCAGACCCTGGGCCCCTGCCCTTTGCCCACCTGTCAAGGTGTCCAGGAATTTGTGGACTCTCCTACCTGCTCCAACTCCTCCTCAGCATATTTTTGGCGGCTCCGCTCATTCTCAGTACCCTCCCGCAGCTCCTTCAGCCGCTGGGCTTCCTGCTTAGCAAGGTTGATCTCATCGCGCAGCTTCTTCTCCAGATGGACCTTCTCCACCTCCACTGTGCGGTGCTCCTCCTGGGCCTTGTGCAGCCTGGGGGGCAATGCAGGGAGCTGGAGGAGGCCAGGCAAGGGGGTGCCAGCCAACATGCCATGAGTCATGGCACCAAAGAGGAAAATGACGGCTCCAACTCTCAGCATATATTCTCCCTGCTCTGCTGACTGTCTGGCTCTGAGCTAACTCAGGGCCAATAGAAACCACAGTTATTACCTAATTCACACCTTGACCATCATTTTGCTGCCAGTAATCAAGGCTGTGGAGCCAGGTTCTCAGGCATCTGAATCCCTCCTCTAAACTGTCTCATACAAAAATCATAACAAGTACCAGTTTACAAGGTATTTCCCGTTTGTTCTCCCAGCAGATAATGATATATTGGTACATTATCAGCCTGGGACAGGCAGATATGGAGCCTTAGAGAGGGAAAGCAACTTGCAGGAAGAACTGAGGCTAGAATTCCAATCTGTGTAACTTCAAATGCCACAATTAATCCCCTTATGTAGTGGTATCTAGAAAGTTCAATAAATGTAGAATACCCTGCAAGCTAGACAAAAAGATCCAGGAAAAACCTAATGGCCGAGAAATGACTGGGGTGGTAGCAGAGGGGTGGATTAAGGAAGATGAGGAAGGAACTATTGAGCTAGACCTCTTGGATTCCTGAGCTTCTGTTCCCAGAAGCAAAAAACAAACTAAATTTATTCCAGAGGGGCTGGGCAGGGCTCTACACATTTCTCCCTCTGAAGCTAAGAGGCAAAAAAGATAGGGCTCAGGAGAGTCCCCTGCTGCCCCCAGGCCCTGAGTTCCTTTCCCAAGTATCTTCCTTAGTGGATAAGATCTCAAGGGTATGAGTTATAATGTAAGTCTACCCTTGCACCGTCACACACATTCCCTCAGTTCACTGACAAAACATTCCATCCAGCTAAACAAGCCTTCTCCCTTCCTCACTTCTTTCCTCCACATGGCTATCTATGTTAATACACTCATTCATTCATCTATTCATTCACCAAGTTCTTTCAAGTGCCTACTAAGTGCCAAGACCTGTGCTAAGCCCTAAACGTATGGCAATAAATCAGAAAGCTGTCCCTGCCACTGAGGAGCTCATGATTTACTCCAACAAAGACAAGTAAACAGGTAACTGTGACAAATTCCATAATAAAATTATCATATATATGATAAGATATATATATATTTTTTCATTATAGAATTTATATATATATATATGATGTTGAGTGCACCCAAAAGATGGAGTAATCAGCTCTGCCTGACAGGAGTCAGGGAAAGAAAGGGAGACTTGGGCTACACCCAGAACAAAGACTGAGAATTTGCTAATCCCTTTGGAAGAGAGAACGGACTTTACTGTCTGGTCTTCCTTTCTAAGTAAAAACCACCAGGTTACCAGGGGACCAGATTAGGAAGGGGAAAGGATGGTGAAGAAGAGATAAGATATATAGTTTAGACTTGAGGTATGGAAAAGAAAGGATAGACTGCAGAACAAGAAAGACCCTGAGAGAACACTGATCACTGAAATAATTAAGTAGATGAAACAGATGAAACAAACAGAACTCAATCTGTTAAAAACAAAACTCTAAGTCCAGAGCTATCAGTGGCAGAGACCTCAAAAGGTATCGTGGAACAAGCAAAGAGGTAAGAGGAGGAAATGTTAGGCTGCAAGCTCCCGCGAATTGTAATCTGCCTACTTTGTCCCTGAAGAGAAAGGGAGTTGAACCTCCTGAAAATGAACACCAGATGGCAATACATGCATAGGTAAAGACAAACCAGAGGCGCCATTTCCTGCCAACTCCTTCCCTTGCTGAATGTCCTTCTTTATTGTACTCTTCCATGACCCAACTGTGTAAAGTTACACCATTAAGGATTCACTTCTTCACTGAAATACTGTCCTCTATGAAAGCAGCCTCTTGAGAAAAGCCAATACTACGATAAGTCTGTCCTTTATAATAGTGAGCTCCTTTATAGTAGAATCAAGACTGACCCCCTTTCATAGTGCCAATAAGGTCTGTTAGAGATAGAGATCAATAATTATTGTTGGGTGCAGAAATGAGCAAATAAATATACAATTAAGCACTGCCCCACTCCAAGGCAACAACCATTAGCATTGCAATTAGTCCTGCCTCTAAGCAGTTGTGTGATGATGAGCAAGTTTTGCCTGCTTTGGGAATCAAAATTCCTGCCTGCCTCAAATAATTATTTTGAAACTCAATGAAATCCTAACTGGAATGTACATGTAGAATTATATTTATTCACACAAATTATCAGGAACTCTGTAATAAAGCTCTGTAAAAGCTGGCATTGCAGGTCTGTTAACACAAGGAGGAACAAGGGGGCAGTGGGCTCTGGACACTCTGAGGAGGATATATGTGTGCATGTGTGCCAGCCTATCTCTAGGGGGGAAAGGGGAGGGGTGTCTTGGTCTCTTTCTAAGTGCCGCAGTGGTCACTTAACTCTGGAGGTCTTAGGGAGCAGGGAGTGCTGGGAGCTTAGTTTTATCCCCAAACTTGGAATGTCTCCTGCCTAGATTCTTTTGCCTTTGGAATGGAAACAGTACACGTTTTTCAAACAAATGAGGTATGGGGACTGCTCAGACAGCAGCAGTTAGCCCCTAATTGGCAAAGGGCCCAAGAACAAGGGGCCCAGCAGAGTAGCCAGGATTCAGCTTAGAGATCAGACCCCTCTCGCTCCCTAGAAGCCCAGCCCATGGAAATAAACCCAGTAAGTCTGCTACCTCAGTAAAAGCAGCACCCTGGAGTGTCAAAATTCCTAGTTCACTACTTACTGATATATGACCCTGAGCAAAGCACTTACCCTCTCTGAGCCTTCATTTCCTCAACTGTAATAGTACCTACTTCAAAGGGCTATAGTGATTAAAAGCAATAATGCATTTAATTATTTAACAATACCTGGCTCACAAGAAGTCTTTTCCCACCCCTCCAAAGAAAATAGTGTTTACCATTTAAAAATAACACAATGGCTGGGCACAGTGGCTCAGGCCTGTAATCCCAGCACTTTGGGAGGCTGACGTAGACCTCTTGAGTCCAGAGTTCAGGAAAAGCCTGGGCAACACAGCAAGACCCCTGTCTCTACAAAAAATCAAAACAATTAGCCTGGCATGGTGGCATGCACCCAGCTACACAGGAGGCTGAAGCAGGAGGATCTCTTGAGCCCAGGGGTGGAGGCTGCAGTGAGCCATGTTCATGCAATTCAACTTCAGCCTAGGCAACAGACCAAGACCCAGAGTCAAAAAAATAATAATAATAAATAGAAATAAATGAAAAGACAAGACTTCATTTCCTTTTACATGAATTCCTGCAAAGACTTCCCAACTAGAGTCCCTAGGCTTCCAGAATCATTTTCTTTTTTTTTTTTTTTTTTTTTTTTTTTTTTGAGACGGAGTCTCGTTGTGTCGCTCAGGCTGGAGTGCGGTGGCGCAATCTCCACTCACTGCAAACTCCGCCTCCCAGGTTCACGCCATTCTCCTGCCTCAGCCTCCCGTGTGGCTGGGACTACAGACGCCCGCCACCGCGCCCGGCTAATTTTTGTATTTTTAGTAGAGACGGGGTTTCACCGTGTTAGTCAGGATGGTCTCGATCTCCTGACCTCGTGATCCGCCCATCTCGGCCTCCCAAAGTGCTGGGATTACAGGCGTGAGCCACCGCGCCCAGCCCAGAATCATTTTCTAAAAGACAGTCCTGAATAGGCCTCTCCTCTTCTCGAAAATATAACAACCAAAAAGACCTGATTTGACTCTCTATTGCCTTCTGCATCCTACTAACTTCCCCACATGCATCTTAAGGTCCCAGGGATCTGGCCCCACCCTATACACTCAACCTTAACACCCAGGACCTCCCTACCCATCTTTCAAGGCTACCTCCTCAGAGTCCCACATCCACTCATTCACCTCTTTGTCTTTCTAGTCATTAGCATTCTTATCCTATAAGCTGAGTCTGGAACTAAGTCTGCATTAAGTGTGCTCTCACTGCTGCTTCTTGTGGGTGTGTAAGTTTTGTTTCCTCAGGAACAGTGAATTTCTTACAACTGCCATCACAGAACTGGTTACTATATGTTAGGAAATACACAGGCTGACTGACCGACTGACTAATGGGCACTCTCTTTTCACAGCTAAATCTTCTGCCATAGTTTTGAAGTCATATTTTATTTTAACAGAATCCCACACCATATGAGTTGGAAGTGTTCTAGGAGAGTTTAGCATTCTCCTAGGTCAATCCCTTCATATTACCAATGAGGAAATAAGTCCTGGGAGGGAAAGAGATTTATCCAAAGTCATACAGCAAGTCAGTGTTTATGAGATTTAGATTCCTTATAAGAAAGAACTAAGGACAGTAAGAAGGAAGGTTTTTGAGGTTTCTTTGGGGAACAGTAAAGAACAGTTCATTATATCTATTTATATGCTAAGAGAAGCAGTCCAGAGACGGATGAAGGAAGAATGACCCCCTAACAAGCAATGGGAAGCTCAAGACCTCTGGCAGCTACACATTTCTCCCTCTGAAGCTAAGAGGCAAAAAAGATAGAAACAAGTTTCTCCCCAGGAGGAATAACTGCCCAGGGCACTTGGAATATCAGCAACCTAAACTTGCAGTGCAGTTTTGGAAGGATGATGCAGCCTGGGCTGCCATGTTAACAAGGTCTCAGGGGCCAAGTGGCTCACACTCAGGTAGAAATAGGAGGTTCCCAGGAGCCAAAGGTAATGGCAGGGCCTTACCTTTCCTGAAGGGGCAGGGCCTTACCTTTCCTGAAGGTCATGCAGACTCTGCTCAGCTCGGTGTAACCCCTCCAAGTCCTTCATCATCTTCTTCATGTGCTCCTTGGAGTAACGGTTCTGGATATAGGCAAACCAGCAGCCGCCCACACCAATAACGATAGACACCACCAGCATGAAGTCCTTGAGGTGATTATGGCGGGTCACTGCCAAAGAGGGGAGGGCATGGTGAGTTAGGGTGCCCACTGCATACTGAGCCTTGCAGACTCCACTGCACACTCTCCCACTCTCCCACTGAGAAGGAATTAGTTTCCCTTCTTAGATACACAATTCCCATACACTATTATAGTAAGCTCTATGTCTATCTCTCCGCTAGCCAAGGCTTTGTTTTGAAATGAGAAGCCTTACAGCAATACAGGAAGCTTATTAAATCACACTTCCTTAAGATGCAGTGAAGAGGAGAGAACTAGTGCCTTCTCAATATACCCTAGCCATCTTTGGGCTAGGATGAGCCCATATGCCCAGATGTAGTGGCTTCTGTCCTACAGGGTAAGCAATTCTAAAGTTCCACAGTAGGTAAATGGAGATGACTGGTATAAAGGATATAAAGCAATGTCACCAGAAGCCTTAGTTCTGGCTGTAGGACTGAAGTCACTGTAGGAACTAGGTCTCCTGGACTACCAGGCCATTCTTGGCACAGATCAGGGAAAGGTCCAGAAGTCTCAATCTACGGTGAACATTTCTAGGCTACTGTGAAATCCAGAGACTCTAGAACAGGATAGCATCAAGAAATTGATATTGATGAGACATTACACCTACCAGAAACTGAGGAGCAGAGCTATTTCCAGAAAACACCTGGTAGCAATTCAGTGAAGCATGAGGGCCCCAACCACCAACTGGGGTTCAAAGAATGCCCATTGTCCAGAGCAAAATTTAAATGTTAAACAAGAAATGACACCAAAAGATAAAAAGCAAAAGCCACATCCTAAACACTTAGCTAATCAGGAGAGAGGCACTTCTGGAACTAACATTGTTTCTGGTATACCAGATCTGGGCTCTGTGCCACAGCACAAAAGACTTGAAAGGGGCACTATAAGAAGGAGATGGCTGCTCCTGCATCCTCTGTCTAGGCTGTGCTGTGGGCTCAGAGGAGCCCTGGATGTGGGAGTCAGAGAAAGAGGGAAAAAAGGGAGTTATGCCAGGGCTAATGACCCTCTGTGCACAGCAAGTTGCCCTTAGACAGTGGAGGAAGAGGTAGGACTGGCATGATCCTTGGACACAGTAAGGACGTGAGGCTGGTGGAAATCCAAAAGGACCTGGGTCGAGCCACCAAGTTAAGGGAGGGTCAAGACACCAGAAAAAGAAACCATATGATACTGATGCCCATAGTTTGACAAAAAGAGTTACCATCATAGCTGCTCACAGAAAGGCTGAGCAGCAGGACATGGGGATGAGATGCGATCAAAGACAAATTAACACATCCTATTTCCACCCAAGGGAGGGGGGTTACTAGGTCAGGGTGGTGGCCATGTCCTTCATATGTTTATTCTAGGCTCTCTGAAAGAAAACCAAGGGTCCTCTCATGGCCATCCCCTAGCCTCCAGGCAGGCTACAAGTCTAGGCATACTTAAGCCCTCACTCTCCTACCTTTCGGGTTCCAAGAGGAGCTATTTCTGCAGCACAGTGAGTTGTCTTTCTTCCTGGAACATACCTGCCTCCTCCAGAGCCACTACCAGAGCCTGGGGTATTCTTTGTCTCCCCTGTTTGTTAAGGACTTTTAATCTTGGTTTCCTAGGGTTTCTCAACTTCAATATCCCCTTTATATTCTTACCAAAAGTCAAAGGTATCCTTGTTCAAACAAGACTCCATGCAACGAGTGCTTCCAATACTTCAAATACTTAAGGTGGGTATGCAGATTGAGCCTAGTTATTTCATTTGGTTTCTTATTCTACGTTATCCAGTTCAATTTGCCAGAAAAGCAACCACTCCTGCTCACTGAGGACTTTCCCCTATTTTCTGAGCCAATGAAGAAGGAAGATAAGGCATAGTCTTTTCTTTTCCTATCTCCAACTGCCCCTGACCTGCAACAATTATTCTGTCGGCCTCCCTGCACTTTTCTCAATATTCCTGCTGAAAGCACAAAGGGCACACTAGCCCCTAGCCCAAAACTAAGCACACTGTAGGCACAGGTTAAAAATTGAAAAGAGTAGCTACCATTTATTTAGGGGAAATTGGGGCACAGAGAACCTTAGAAATGTGTCCAAGGTCACAAAGCTACTGAGTGATAGAGCTAGTCAGCTTGATTTCAAAGCTGGAACTCTTTATTATATCTTGTTTCCTCTAACAGAAGTAGAAGATGGATAACATCTCCTAACATCTCCAAACACCCCTAACATCTGCAAACTGGTACTATATGGAGAGCCCTAGATGGGCCTGTAAGCCCAGAGCCAACTCTGCAGAGTGAAAAAGACTGTAAAGGGCGGTGTGTAAAGGGCTGTGGTCACATGGGGAGGACTGAGCATGCCTTCTACTGTCAGAAAATGGACCTTGAGGTGGCCCTCTGCTGAGCCAATCTGATCCCTCTTCCCTTTTCCCAAGTTCTGAGGCTGCTGTGGACAGATGGCACCTGTTCCCTCAGCATGCCCTCTTGGCTACTGCATGACAAACCTTTTATGTGAGATATGTCAAGCCTCAGACCAACAGCAGAATTTTTATTATGGCTCGGTGAGGTGGCCATAGCTCACAGCTGTACCAAGTCTAGGTTCTCTGGGGTGTTTGTGTGCTAAATGACTGATGATGAGGTCTAAGTGTCTGCTCATTCAGCCTTAAGAACTCATCCTAACTTCAGAACACAGGTCAGACCCAGTACAGGCCTCTAGGTCCTAAATGGGTGTTAAAGAATAGCACTGAAATAGGGATTTTTAGTCCATACTCAGAGGGAAAATAAAGTCTAGAGGGGCAGAGATCAAGGGACTATTTGTAAACATCCAGCAGGCACGCCCCCACCCCTTTCAGAAGTTTCCTGGCAAAGAGCTCCTTAGTATTTTCCTCAGACTCCAGCTGGCAATTTTCAAAAGTTTCATTAGACAAGCATCAGTAGAAAAATATAAAAACAATATTTGCCATCAGGACAGCTGCTGATTTCTAAAATCTTAGCTTCCAGGAGTATACCCAGTTCTATCAGAATCCTTGAATGAGAGAGCCACTAAGAACCTTTAATGACCAAACCCATTTTACAGAAAAGGAAACCCAAATCCAGGCAGAACTGAATTGCCAAAGGTCACTTAATAAGGCAAGGACCAAGCACAGAAGTCCTAAAAATACACAAGGCCGACACCAGGAAGGAACAGACCTCCTGTCTTTTATACAGAACCCTTATTAAGCAAGGAGTTCCTCCCAAAAATCATAAAATGTCACAGCTGAAAGAAACTGTAGGGAGGAATCTCATAATACAAATCATAAAACACACCTGAGAAAAGTGACCTACCCAAGGTCACACAGTGAGTGGCAATTTTGAAAAGGAACCCAGGTCACCTGCCAATCCAGGGTTCTTTCCCAAACTTCAAAGAAGTCGTCTGAATAAAACTCCAGGAGCTACAAAAAAATCAAGCTGTACAGGCATACACTGCAAGTTCAGTTTGAGGCCACTGCAATAAAGCTAATAAAGCAATAAAGTGAGTCACACAAATTTTTTGGTTTCCCAGTGATAAAAGTTATGTTTACGCTATACTATAGTCTATTAAGTGTATAATAGCATTATGTCTAAAAATACAGTGTGCGTGTCTTAATTTAAAAATAACTTATTGCTTAAAAATTCCGACACAGACACTCAAAAGTGAGCACACGCTCTTGGAAATATGGTACCAACAGCTTGATCAACACAGGATTGCCACAAACCTTCAACTTGTAAAAAATGCAATTATCTGCAAAGTGCAATAAAGCAAAGCACAATAAAAAAAGGTATGCATATATATATTTATTAAGACATAATTCACAGAGCCTAAAATTCTAAGTCTCTCTCTTAAAATGTGCAATTCAATGGTTGTAGTATATTCACAAGGTTGTGCAACCATTGACAAAATTAATGTTAGAATATTATCATTACCCCAAAAAGAAATGCCATATCTATTAGCAGTCCCTTCCTATTTCCCACTGCCCCCACTCCCAGCCCCAGAAACCACTAATCTATTTTCTGTCTCTATGGATTTGTGTATTCTGGGCATTTTATGTAAGTGAAATCACAAAATTATATAATATGTGGCCTGTTGTGACTGGCTTCTTTTACTTGGCATGTTTTCAAGGTTCATCCACACTGTAGCATATGTCAGTACTTCATACCTTTTAGTGGCTGATTAATATTCTACTGTATGTATATACCATTTATTTTTCCATTCATCAACTGACAGACACTTGAGTTGTTTCCACTTTTTGGCTATTATTCTAATTTCAACACATCCTTACCAACACTTGTTACTGTCTTTTTTATTATATCCTGGTGAATAAAAAGTGTTACCTCATTGTGATTTTGATTTGCATTGCCCTGATAATGATGTTGAGCACTGTTTCAGGTGTATATTGGCCATTGAACTGTGGACATATAAATATATGTTCAAATCCTTTGTCCATTTTTTGTTTGTTCGTTCGTTTTGAGAGAGGGTATCACTCTGTCACCCAGGCTGGAGTGCAGTGGCATGATCTTGGCTTACTGTAACCTCTGCCTCCCAGGTTTCAGCAATTCTCATGCCTCAGCCTCCTGAGTAGCTGGGATTATAGGCATGTGCCACCACACCTGGCTAATTTTTGCATTTTTTTAGTAGAGACGGGGTTTTGCCATGTTGGCCAGACTGTTCTTGAACTCCTGTCCTCAGGTGATCCGCCCACCTCAGCCTCCCAAAGTGCTGGGATTACTGGCATGAGCCACCGTCCCTAGCAAGAATTTTTTATGTATTCTGGATAGTAGAGCCTTGTCAGAAAAATGTTTGCCAATACTTTTCTCCATTTTGTGGGTTGTCTTTTCACTTTCTTGGTACATTCTCTGAAGTATGAAACTTTTATTTTGGTGAAATCCAGTTTATCTATTCTTTCTTTTGTTGCATATGCTCTTTAAAAAATAATTTGAGGTAAAATTCACATAATATAAAAGTAACCATTTCAAAGTAAGTAATTCAGTGGCATATAGTACATTCATGATGTTATGCAACCACCACCTCTATCTAGTTCCAAAACATTTCTATCACTCCACAGTAAAATTTTTTACCCAGTAAGTGGTTTCTCCCCATTCCCTCCTCCCACCAATCCCTGCCAACCATCAGTCTACATTCTGTCTCTGTGGATTTATCTATTCTAATCATTTCATATTAACAGAATCATACAATATGTGATCTTTTGTGTCTGGCTTCTTTCATTTAGCATAATGCTTTCCAGGTTCATCCACATTGTAACATGTATCAGAACTTCATTCCATTTATAGGTGAATAATATTCCATTGCACCACAATGTATTTATCTATTCATCTATTAATAGATATTTGGGTTGTTTTATTTTTTGGCTCTTGTGGCATGTGCTGCTATGAACATGCATGTACGTGTACTTGTTTGAGTACTTGTCTTCAATTCTTTGCATGTATACCTAAGTGTGGAATTACTAGGTTCTATGGTAACTCTGTGTCTAATTTTTGAGAAACCACCAGACTATTTTACATAGTAGCGGAACCATTTTACCTTCTCATCAGCAATGTACAGGGGTTCCAATTTCTCTATACCCTTGCCAAAACTTGTTTTCCATTTTTAAAAACTATTTTTATTATAACTGTCCCAGTCAGCGTGAAGTATATTCTTAGCTTCAGTACCTGTGCTCTGCCTATCTCAGGAAGATAGTTTTCCTGCTGATCTCTGGCCTTCCTTAAGTTAGATCACATGCAGCACATGGGCGACATGCAATAAGCCTAAGAGAAAAATACCCCCGTCCTGGTATCAGTCCAACCTGCTCCACCAGGGCCCCTCTCGTTGGTTCTGATATCCTGGACCCTGTACCACGTCCCCAGCATTCTGGTTCCCATAGCTGATTTTTCCAGATAAAATCCTTGACTGCTTTAACCTGCAGTTTCTACTGTACCCTTTCAGACATGGTAAATCTGATTTTGATACAGATATAGCTTGATAATATATATTACAAGGCTAAGGAAGACTTTCAGGCTGCTGAAAACCTCCCCTTGCTGGGTGGTGACAGAGAAGAACCTTTGCAAAAGTAGCCTAGCTTTTATAGTTGGGTATAAGTGTTCTTGGTGTGTACAAAGAGATGTGTAAGTTGTTAACAGGGAGAGTTTAATAAAGCCACTTCCACTTCTCATCTTTCAAGACTCAGCTCAAGAATTACTTTCTCCATAAAGTTTCCTGGACTCCAATAGGAAACTCCTCCCTAGTATGTGCCCCCAGTTGAACTCTGGAAAGACTTACATAATAGCTATAACACTTACTATATTTGTTGACACTTTACTATATTTGCTGACATAGCTATCTCCATTTAGATAGAAGTACTTGAGAGCAGGGATCCTGCCATTTATGCTGGTACTTAGAATGTGCTCAATAAAGGTTAGTGAATGATGAAAAGCCACTGCTCAATACAGAGACTAGGCCTTACATAAAGAGTAGAACCAGTTACTGTGTCATTATTCAAAACCTACCAATGAAGGTGAGCAAAATGTGTCCTAGAACCCTCCACTCCCCCAAAAAAAGGTGGCAAAGGAAGTGGAAACAGTAGTCTTCGCCCAGGTTGCTCTGTTTCATACTTTCAAAAAGCATAGATCCACTTGTATTGAGACATCAGCTTGCGTATTTGCCAAGCCATATTCACAGACAGGGAAATGTTATATTGCCTCTGACCTTGCCTGCCAGCTGCTTCTATGGACTGGTTCCTGATTCAATACCTTTCTGCTGCTGGCACCCTAAATCGAGGCAAGCCATTCCCATAGGGCAGGAAGCGGGCCCTAAGAGCCTGTTTAGTTGAAAATAGTTTTCCAAGAAATCTCACTACTTTTTGCTCCCCCTTGGCTCACTTAGAATTAGAAAAAGGATGGCAGGCTGACTGTTCCCACAACATAGCTCTGTGGAGACGGAACAACCCAATTCTCTCAACTAGCCTCCTTGGCTGAAGAGACCACCCTTTCTTAGGCCCAAGTGTGTCTACTGCTTCAGTGAAAACCCACTTAGTCCTCCTTGGTCATTCAATGATACAAAGATATACACTAATCAGTTCATACACTCTAAATGTCTACAATAACCCACTGTCATTATATATATAGAGAGAGAGCTGCTGATGTGCTATTGAAATGAAATATGGAAGTAGGTAACAGCTAACAAGCTTTCAGTCCATAGGGGGTTACTTCTATCCCTGAGCATACTTTCCATATTTTAGCTTTTGTATTCTTGCTCAGGTTGTTTACTCTGCCTAGAATGTCCTATTCTGCCACCTCCATAGAATAAAGTTCTATCCACCCTTAAAGGCAGAGGTCACATGTCACCTTGTCTATAGGATACCTTCACTAGGCCTCCTCTGGGCCTCAGAAGCACTGTGTACCTCTATAGAACACTCATGTTATACCTTCAGGGCAGAATATGATTCATTCCAGGTCTTCCTACAGGGTCCAGCACAGCACTGGCACAATGCAGATATTTCCTTAAAGTATTTAATGAATGCATGTTGCTATATATCTGGACTAAAATGTAAGACTCTTTCAAACTTAATACCAGTGGAAAGAGTATAGGTGCTATCTTGCAGGTGTGCCTAGCAGACCCAGAGCCTTAGCCTATCCACTACAATAGCTTTGGTTTCCATGGCACAGCAGTAGCCCTTCTCAACACAAGACTCACAGAGAGGAGGCCCGAAGAGCACTGTATCCAGGGCCTTCAACTGCAGCTTCTGCCGATGACTCCGGTCTGTCATCTTCAGCACAGTCCCTGTCATTGTGGTGTTGGTGACAGCTAGCCTGTTGAGGCAAAGAGTAGCAGATCAGTTCGCTGCCAGTAAAGCCAGGAAGGATCCTGGTAGGATTACCCACCTCCTCCAGGAACACTTCTAGCTCTTGGTGATTGCTCCCCTCTGCACTCTAGAACACAGAGTCTATACCAGTTGGGTCTCAACAGAGTGTATGGAGGGACACATAACATTTACCAAGAACTTGTTCAGCCCTCTCCCCATATCCACCAACTTCTAAGCACGCTATCCTCTAAGGATTACCTGTCTGTAACCATTCCCACATCCAACTAAATTTTCTGTTGTGCTTCTCCTTCCAGGGTTTATCTTCTATATATTGTCCCCACCTCCCACCACTTATAAATGCATTTCCTGTGCAGCCCAGGTCAAACTGTCATGTCATATGACCCAGTGATTCCGGGACTTATGAATTATCCTAAACTCACTGTCATTATATATAAATCTGCTGATGTGCTATTGAAATGAAATACAGAAAAGGAAAAAAAATTTTAATTAATCACTGGTGACAAAAATGGAATTAGTCCTGTTAGCTTGTAATTGAGTCACTGCAATACAAGTTACCTCCAATAAAATTACTGTAATTTTTTATGACCTCCACCCATACTGCCAGTGATAACTATAATAAGAGAAAGCCTGTAAACAAGAAAATGACCTAGGACAAATGGAACTTTGTTTCTCTTCTGCTGGAACACAGTGGATATAAAAGGAGAGGGGTAAAGGATATGAAAGGTTGAAAACCACTGGTCTAAGTCCCACAAGTAAGCACTTAATTCTATACTACTCTATAAGGTTTGTGCTCTTTTCTGATGCATATCTTTATTTCCCCAGCTAGAAAAGAAGCTTCTGACAGCACAGTGTGATTATACTCCTGTCGGAGCACGCAGGAACAGCTACTTCCTTCTCTGGCCTTGGAAAGCAATCAAGCCCACCAATAAGACAGGCAGTGAGGCACTGTGATGGGGAGTGGGAATGGTCAGGAGATCTGTCTTCTCATTTCAGCTCTACTAGTGACTCACTTGTCTGATCATAAGTTGCTTTGTTCCTCCCCCAGGACCTCAGTTTCCTACTGTGTAAACTTATATAAAATCAGATGCTTCCTATAAGCCTGGGAGTTCTTGGGGTTCCTCTTTAAAACACTTCTGCCAGATGTGCTGCAGTTTGTCTGACTAATGAGAATAAACATTGTCATCTTTTCTACAGTCTATTTCTCAAAGACACCTATGAACTGGAATGCTATCTATTTGTAAGCAATGAAAGAAATAAGAAAGGAGGTAACATTGACTAAGCAACTACTGTGTGTCTGATACTTTACATACAATACCTCATTCAGTCCTCACAACAACCTTAAGAACTCAGTTCCATTATTAGTGCCACTTTCTAGATAAGAAAACGGAGACTTAGAGTTGAGTAACTTGTCCAAAGTCACAAACAAGTAAGTGGCAAAGCCAGAGAATGAACTCAAATCTGCTAGATTATTCTCATTATACCATGTGAGCTAGTGATGGGCCTAGAACCACCCTCACTCCACCCCAAGCACTGAAGGCCCCATGCTTCCTGCTATCACTAAGGTGCCACAGCTTGGCATCCCCTACATCTGTGCCCAGCCTGGCTGGACCTGGTCTTGGCTCTAATTCTAGCCACAAAAAAGCTACGTGAACCGATGACCTGAGAACTGACTTCTTATTCTATGCTTTGCAGTTTTAATCCAAGCCAAAGATATCCCCCATGAGGAAAATGGTATGGGGATCCACAAAGCAATATTGCTATTTCTATGGGTAGCAAGAAAGACACCTAAATCCTGGATCTTAGTGGCCAATCATCTACTTCTCCATTAAACATGGAGTTCCTCAAGTCAGGGGTCTGGTCTAATGCATCTCTTTGTCCTCTGGGCCCACCAAAGAGCATGGCACATGGTAGGTGCTTAGTGAAGTTTTGTAAAATAGAACTAAACTGAATATTGAAAGGAAACCTATCTTTAACCACATGGCACAAGAGGAAGATGCAGTGAAAAAAAGCAAGGCATTTAGAACAAGACAGACCTGGGTTCAAATCCCAGCTCTGCCACTTACCAGCTTGGATAAATTATAAAATATTTGAGATTCAGTTTGCTCACCCAAAAGTTGGGATACTCTTCCTCCCAGAGTTGTGAGAATCAACTGAAATAATAGGTAGGAAAGCACTCTATAAAGGGAGGTACAAACATTAAGATTATTACTCTCTCCAGAGTAGGGAGAAGCTGTGAAGAAGAGGCTGCAGGCAGCAGAGGAGGGAACAGCCAGCTCAGCTAGGCCTGGACAGCAGTGCTCGGTAGCTCTGTGGCTGGAGACTGCAAAGTGTGGGCATTCCAACAGCTTCACCTTCCCCTTTCCCCTTTGCTGAAGCTGAAAACCAGATGCACCTACATAATAAGATGACAGATTATACATAATCAGCACTTACCAGATAGTAAGCCCTTTGAGGGCAAGGGCAGGTTGTTGTCATCTTTATCCCCAGCACCCAGTACAAGTGCTTGGCACAGAGCAGGTACCCAGTAAATATTTGTTGGATGAATAAGTAAATGGATTAATGACTGAATGACATATGGCACTAGTTTGACATTACAAGAAGTCCAAGCAGTACTCCATTCCTCCCCCCATTCCCAGCCCAAGCCTTACCATATTGAGTGTGTAAAGGAGGCAAAGAGTCATGAAACAACAGCTGTTGGAGTCATCCCAGAGATGAAGCTGGGGCCAATGGCAATCAACCTCTCCTCTGTACCATTTTTATTATAAATAAGCTGTATATGGATAACCCAGGGAAGGCTAAAAGAGCCCTGAGGCTCCCAGGTGATAAAAGAGGCAGCTGCTTGGAGCATGGGGAAGTAAAAAAAAAAAAAAAGAAACACCAACAGGGTTTGATGTATACCAAGATTCAAATCTCAGTTTTGCCCCTAACTAGTCATGTTTGTGACCTTAGAAAAGTTACAGTTTCATCATCTATATACAATAATACCCACCTTACAGGACTGATGTAAGAATTAAATGAGATACTGTATATAGTGTTGAGTAGAATGTCTGGCATGTCCTAAGCACTCAGTAAATGGCAGCTATTAGTACTATTCCCAGGATTGACAGGAATATTAAAGAACAGAGTGGATGCAAAGTGCCCATCATACTTTATAGCAAGTGCAAAACAGATGTGAGAAGAGGCAAGATCTATAGATGCTGCCCTGAAAAGGGTAGAACCTCACTTAACTGGCCAGAGCAACCTGAAGGCAGGCCCACTCCAGCCCACTCTCCATACCCTCAAGAGAGAAAAACCCAGTCCCCTCCTGACCTTGGCATGGCATGGCCACTGAGCTGTAGCTTCCGGAAGGTCTCCTCATACTGAGGCAGCTCCACATATGTGATCAGCCACTGTACCACCTCATCCACGGTCCAATTGTATACTGTGAAAAGAGACAAGCAAAGTCATAACTCTAGAATGCCAAGCACTGCTTGCATTTATTGTCATATTGACCTTAATATTTACCACATTCGTGTGTGTTTAATATCTCTCTGTCCCATAAAATACTAAGTATGAAAGGAGTATACACTGTGAGTTTATTTATATGAAATCCTAGAAAAGACAAATCTATAGTGATAGAAAGCAGATAAACGGTTAGCTGGAGCCAGGAAGGGAGCTCCAGGGAAAAATCATAAATGCAATTTTATAAGGTGATGGATATATTCTATATTTTGAATGTGGTGGTGGTTACACAAATGATAACACCTGTCAAAATGCATCAAACTGTACATTTAAAATAGGTGTATCTTCTTTTATGTAAATTATAACTCAATAAATTTGATTTTGGCATATTTTTAAACTGTTGTGACCAGGCTTGAGAATCAACTATCCATCCATTCATCTATCCAGCTATTCAACTGAGCATTCATAAGTGGACTAGTTAGTGCCAAGCCTGGAGGAAGTTAGTTCCCAATCCAGTGGAAGAGATCAAAAGCTAAACAGCATAAGTGAAGCACAGATTCTGATAAAGAAAAATACATAGAGCACAGAGAAGAAAGGAAATAACTGCCTAGGGGATCAGGTACAGCCTCAGAGAAGATGATATATTGCAACATAAAGGATTAGTAGAAGCTTATCTGAAATATTTCATGAGTGTGAGGGGAGGAGGGCACTCAATACAGAATGAAGACAGGTGCAAAAGAAAAGATGTGAAATTTGATGTGCGTGAAACAGCAGTCCCCAACCTTTTTGGCATGAGGGACTGGTTTCATGGAAGATGATTCTTCCACAGACCTGGGCAGGGAGATGGTTTCAGGATGAAACTGTTCCACTTAGATCATCAGACATTAGTTAGATTCTCATAAGAAGCATGTAACCTAGATCCCTCACACGTGCAGTTCACAATAGGGTTCGCACTCCTATAAGGATCTAATGCCACTGCTGATCTGACAAAAGGTGGAGTTCAGGCAGTAATGCTCCCTCACCCACCACTCATCTCCTGCTGTGCAGCCCAGTCCCTAACGGGCCATGGACTGATACGGATCCATGGTCCAGGGGTTGGAGACCCCTGGTCTAGAATATAGAATATATGGCAGGTAGTAGCAGAAGAAAGTTGAAGCCACGTCACAAAGGGTCTTGACTACCATGCTAAGATAGCTACTAGTATTGTCCTGGGATAAGCCTAACTCAGATTGCTCTGGCCAGTTAGGTGAGGCCCAACCCTTTTCAAGACAGAATCTATAGACTTCTCCTCCTCTCACATCTATTGTGTGTTTAGTATAGAGCACACTGGGCACTTTATAGCCATTCTCTTATTTGATGCTATTCAGAGTTGCACTGTCCAAGCAGTAGTAGCCAGCAGCCACAGTGGATATTTAAATTTAAATTTATTAAAATTAAATAAATTAAGAATTCAGTTCCTCAATGGCACTAGCCACACTTCAAGTGCCCAATAGCTAGATGTGGCTAATGGCTACCATATTGGACAGCATAAACTATAGAACATTTCCATCACTGTAGAAACTTCTATTAGACAGCACTGGTAAAGATAATTTAATATAGGCCGGGAGCGGTAGCTCATACCTGTAATCCCAGCACTTTGAGAGGCCAAGGTGGGAGATCTCTTGAACTCCAGAATTCAAGACCAGCCTGGGCAATACAGTGTGACCCTGTCTCTATTAAAAAAATTTTTTTTAATTAGCCAGGTGTGGTGGTGCACACCTAGAGTCCCAGCTACTCAGGAGGCTGAGGTGGGAGGATCACTTGAGCCTGGGAGATTGAGGCTGCAGTGAGCCATGATCATGCCACTGCACTCTAGCCTGGGTGACAGAGTGAGACTGTTGCAAAACAAATTTTAAAAAGATAATTTACAGCCAGGCAGTGGTTCACAACTGTAATCCCAGCACTTTGGGAGGCCAAGGCAGGTGGATCATCTGAGCTCAACATGGTGAAACCTCATCTCTATTAAAAATACAAAAATTAGCCAGGCATGGTGGCACATGCCTGTAGTCCCAGCTACTCGGGAGGCTGAGGCAGGAAAATCGCTTGAACTTGGGAAGCAGAGGTTGCAGTGAGCCGAGATCGCATCACTGCACTTCCGCCTGAGTGACAGAGCAAGACTCCATCTCAAAAAAAAAAAAAAAGGTAATTTACTATTGAAGTGTTTTGATTCTATATTTATATTTTGGAAATAAGCTAAAAGTAAAGAACACAAGTATATTCTGGATCATCTAGATATATAAGAATACAGGCTCTCAACTTCAGTGCTCATGTTGCATTTGTGTTTATATGTGTGTTGATGCAAAATAGTTATTACAATGACACAGTTCACCTTTAAACAATGCAGGTTTTAACTGCCTGGGTCCATTTATACATGAATTTTATACATGGATTTTTTTTTCCATAAAAGGTATACTGAGTGTGTCTGCTTCTCCTGCCTCCCTTCCTACCTTCTCTATCTTTTCTGCTTCTGCCACCCCTGAGACAGCAAAACTAACCTCTCTTCTTCATCCTCCTCCTCAGCCCACTCAATGTGAAGATGAGGATGAAAACCTTTATGATGATCCACTTCCACTTAATAAACTGTAAATATGTTTTCTCTTCCTTATGATTATCTTAATAACATTTCCTTTTCTGTTACTTTGTTGCAAGAATACAGTATATAATGCATATAACATATAAAATATGTGCTAATAGGCTGTTTATGTTATTGGTAAGGCTCTGGTCAACAGTAGGCTATTAATAGTTCAATTTTGAGGGAGTCAAAAGTTATAAGTGGATTTCTGACTATATGGGGGAAAAGGTTTAGTCAGCACCCCTAAGCCCTGTGTTGTTAAGGCTCAACTGTATTTCCCTGGAATTTTAGGACATAATGTACTTCATAACAATAAAATATCTCAAATTTAAATTTTAATACAAAAGAACCCAGAGGTCAAACTGATGTTTTTACACAAAATATACATTCATAATTGCAATTCAAATTTTTAAGACAAATATTACCCACTAAAAGATATAAACCACCAAGAACTGTCCCAATTGGTGCATCCCCAGAGAGACTAATGTAGTATCACAGGATCACCTATTATGATCTATCTGATAGCACTATAATGAACATGGGTCACTTTTGCCACCAAGCATCCACTTCCCTTTTTGGTGACAACAGTATTCTGAATTTGTATTAACAGAACCACTCCTCCCTTGCTCTCAGCTAATATGCTTCAAGTAAAGCTAAATCAACCTCTAAAAATAGAGTATGTAACCCAAGCTAAACCAATCAATATCTTCCATCTTTCTGCCCATACTGCTTAGTTCAGGGATGAGTACATAAGTCAAGGCTGAAGAAACTGAATTCTAAAATTTTTGTTTGGCCTATAGGGGATATGCTTGCTCTTCCACTATACTGGTGTCTGGGATAAAATGATCCTGCACTATAATGTTAATAACAACAATAATAATAATAATAGTAATAGAAGCCATCTCTTACATAGCTTACTCTATGAGAGTATTGTTCTAAGTACCTCACATATATTAACTCACTAATCTTCATCATTTTCATATGAAGTAGATATCCCATTTTATCCCCATTTTAAGGATGAAGAAACTAAAGCACGGAAAGGTTATATAACTTTCCCAGAGTTACCCAGCTAGGAATTGGGAAAGCCAAGATTTGGTCTAAGGCAGTCTGGCTCCATCATTCATGTTCTAAGCATGTATGTGTGTGTGTGTGTTTGGGGGGAGGTTGTATGATGCTGCTGGAAGCCTTCCTACAGAGGAAAAGCTGAGTCAAGATCCAGATGACAGGTCATGCACAGTGACTCACACCTGTCATCCCAGCACTTTGGGAGACTGAGGCGGGAGGATCACTTGAGCTCAGGGGTTTGAGATCAGCCTGGGCAACACAGAGAGACCACATATCTACAAAAAATAAAAAAAATAAATTAGCCAGATGTGGTGATGTGAGTCTGTGGTCCCAGCTATTCAGGAGGCTGAGGTGGGAGGATGGCTTGAGCCTGGAAGGTCAAGGTTGCAATAAGCTGCGATCGTGCCATTGCACTCCAGCTTGGGCAACAGAGTGAGACCCTGTCTCAAAAAAAAAAGAAAAGAAAAAAAAAATCCAGCTGATATAATTTAAGCCCTGAGTCAGATCATGCCTGTAGAAATCCCTATTCATAGATATTTCAGTTTTGTGCAACAAGTACATTTTCCCTTTTGCTTGTATCAGATTGAAAGGATTTTCTGTCAAAACAGGAACCAACTCTAACTGAAACAACTGAGTGGTCATTTGCAACATGGCAAATTGCATCATCACCACACATGGAGCACTAGAACTACTGATTCCTCAATATTATAATGTGATGTTTTTAATGAATAGTCATAAAAAGCAGCCTTTTAAAACAATTTTTAGGCCGGGTATGGTGGCTCATGCCTGTAATCCCAGCACTTTGGGAGGCCGAGGTGGGTGGATCACCTGAGATCAGGAGTTCGAGACCAGCCTGACCAACATGGTGAAACCCCATCTCTACTAAAAGTACAAAAATTAACTGAGCGTGGTGGCGGGCGCCTATAATCCCAGCTACTCAGGAGGCTGAGGTAGGAGAATTGCTTGAACTCAGGAGGTGGAGGTTGCAGTGAGCCAAGATCATGCCTTGCAGTTCAGCATGGGCAACAGAATGAGACTCTGTCTCAAAAATAATAATAATAACAACAATAATAATAATTTTTTATATCTGTATTGTGTTTAAACATACAGAAAGCAAATTTATCTCTATACTTTGTTAAAAGTCAATTATGAAGGAATAGAAGTGACTTAATACAAAATACACAAGGAATACATTCCAGCCCAGTGAAGGTCAAATGAGATCATGAATCAAAGTTTCATGTAGCTTAAATAAAGAAAAATGGTGGGAGAAATGAGTCATCACATGGTACCCAGCAATACAGACA